TGCTGGTAAGAAAATCAATCTTTCCATCTTCGAAACATCTATTATCATTGCTATATTTGCTAGCCTTCTAAGTGGATACATGTTTGTCAATATCGAATTAGTTAATCAAATATATTTACGATGTCGATTGATTTCTTATTGAATTTGAGATGAATAGAAAGGTAGAAGATGAAGTTTCTTTTGGTTAGAAAGAAGAAGAATGAGGTTAATAATTAAATACGTAATTGTTGAATGGTCCATGTAAGTTCTTTCAATGTTTTGATCACTTCACTTAAAAGTTACGATTTCATAATAAAAAAGGGCAGACGTAAAGAGTATTTTAACAAGAGATGTCTTGATTCTCAAATAATATTCCATATGATTTTTATTCTTCTTCTTCTTCTTCTTCTTCTTCTTTTATCTATACAATATTTAAATTGTGAAACTTTCCTCAGCTTTAGAGCGATTGTTCAATTGTTATATTTAATTAAAATATTATGTCAACAAAAAAATAAAATTAAGAAGATACCTTTTTTATCTGAAACGTTCTGATCCACGAAAAAATTATGTTTGTTTTATTTTTATTTATTTATTTTTTCATAGAGTAATCAATTATGTTTAATTAAAATATCATGTCAAAATATAATTTAGAATAATCAATTAAAATGTCATGTCAGAATAAAAATAAAATTAAGGAGACATCTTTATATATATATTGTTGACCATTGTGCTCCTTATAAAGTTTGTGTTGTTTCACATAAAAATCAATTATATTTAATTAAAAATTACTTTGGCCAAAAGAAAACTAAAATTAAGAGGATTTTTTTTCTTGGACCATTTTTATTCTAATAAAGCTTATGTTATTTCATCTTAATCAAACTGTCATTTCAAAGTTTAATATAAATTCCATTTCAACACAGAAATAAAATTAAAAAAAACACCTTTTTTTTTTCTTTCTAAACCATAGTGCTCCTCAGAAAGGTTGTGTTGTTTCATCGAGTAATTAGTAAAATCTCATGCATGTCAACAAGATTAAGGAGGCATCTTTTATATTTTATCCTCCTTAAAAAGATTATATTATTTAATTTTAATAAATGTATTGTTTTACATGATAATCATTTAATTATGCTAATTAAAATGTCATTGTCAAAACAAAAATAGAATAAATTAAGAAGATATCTTTTAATTTTTTTTATGAATCATTGTGCTCCTCCGAATAGTTATGTTGTTTCATCTTGGTCACAAGTGTGATTATATTAGATTTTTTATTAAAAAATATTTAATAGAAGAAATATTTGTAATCAGCATGTTGTTTCGCTAGTTATAAGCGGGATGAAGAGCGTTTTATAAAAAATAAAAAAAGGGATGACGAGTGAAAAAAATTCAGAAATAGAAATATATATCCTTAATCAAAGATTTCTGGATTATGAAGAAAAAATTCAGAAGGAATGAAATCAAAAGTGGCAAAAACATTACTAAATTATTATTTTTTCCATAGATATCCTGCGAGCAAGGCGTAGAACACAATTTTCTATAGTTTTGAAGATTATTTTTGTTTGAAATGATATTGCACGTGATAATAATTATCATATGATCAAAATTTTCCAGTACTTTAATTTGTGTTCCCTTTACTTGTCCAGTACGGTGAAAGAAATTATATGCCTACTTTACCTAACAATTGATTTGCAGGTATTGATGGCCTTCGCTTTGTGGCTCGTGGCATTACCTTTAGCAACACCGCAGGTCCACTGAAGGGCCAAGCCGTTGCACTCCGATCAGCCTCAGATCTCTCAGTCTTCTATCGATGTTCGTTTCAAGGATATCAAGACACCCTTTTTGTCCACTCTCAACGGCAATTCTACAGAGAATGCTACATCTATGGCACCATAGATTTCATTTTTGGCAATGCAGCAGTTGTGTTCCAAAATTCTATTATTCTTGTGAGGAGGCCTTTAAAGGGTCAAGCAAATATGATCACGGCGCAAGGCCGCAATGACCCCTTCCAAAACACCGGAATTTCTATCCATAATTCACGAATTCTACCGGCACCAGACTTGAAGCCGGTGGCTGGTGCATTTGAAACATACCTGGGGAGGCCATGGATGCGGTATTCTAGGACAGTTATTCTTCAAACTTATATTGATGGCTTTATTAATCCAGCAGGCTGGTCACCATGGCTAAACAGAGACTTTGCTCAGGACACCTTGTACTATGGAGAGTATAAAAACTTTGGGCCTGGCTCTTCAACAAGAAGGAGGGTTGCTTGGAAAGGATTTCATGTTATAACAAGCCCATATGTGGCGTCACGTTTCACTGTTAGAAGCCTCATTGCTGGCCAGTCATGGCTGCCAGCCACCAAGATCCCATTTACTTCTGACCTTTGATCATGATGCTGTGGTATTTGTCACTATATCTATTTTCTAATTTAATTGTATTCTTTCTGTACATTTTAACTCACTGAAAGCATAAATAAGTTAATTTACTTATATTATTACTTGATTGGAGCAAGTCAGAAAGTTTTTTTTTTGTGTGTGTGAATGTGTTCAAATTTTATTTAAGGTAATAAAAATATTGCACGATCATGGCCTCTCCGACACAAATTACCAGCCTCCTCATAAAAGTGCATGTTGTCGAGAGTATTGGGCTTATTCTACATAGAGACAGCATGTGATTTTATTTTTTTTACACTTTTCTGGGAATGAAAGCATGGAACTATAGTTATTAAATCTTACCTAACTCAAAACTGTCATCTCTAATCAAATTAAAATACTATTGTTTCAAGAATTTATTTTAAAAAAATTAAAATAACATTTATTTTTTAAAAAATTAAATCATATCCCGAGTTTGTCCACTTCAACGCTTAATCTAGCCTAAACCAAATCCCCAGCTAGTTAGTCACCTGGTTTAAAAACAATGCATGGAACTATACAAGCCCTTTTTCGAGCTCAAGATGTGAGGCCTTACGAAATGTATGGCCTGTATTCCAAGAAAGAACATTATAGACCCAGCTAATTTTAGCCCACATTCATTCTCTAATAGAACTAGAGAAGCGTTCAAGAGATGACCGGAAATTAAGCTGCGGAAAATAAGATAATACCAGCTAATTGTACTAAATCTTAAATTTTCTTTAATGGTTTTCAATATTTATTTTTCAAATTCAATGAGATCGATAGCTGCTTGTTTCGTGCTTTATTCCATGTGTAATGACCTTTGCGATAGTGATAGACATTATAAGGTCAAACTTTTCTTGTTTCCACAAATATTTTAATTATTGCGTAGGTGAGAATTAAATTAATTTGTTTAACAAAATTAATTAAACTATACAATATTACCTATCCGTATCCATCATGAAGCTCACGAAGCTGCCGATCGATAGACCTTACCAAATTAATTAATTTAATAATGCTCTCTTACATGTACCCTTATTCTTTGTGTTTTATTCTCATGATAGCTTTTTATGGCTCCAGCCAAATAAATAAATGACCGCTTCATAGATATAGTTGTATAAGCTTGAATAATTAATCAAGAGCCTCCTATAAATTATTTGCAATCATGCCTATGCAGTTGGGTTCCTCATAAGATATAAAACGAATAAATAAACAGTGGGCAAACTCGTATATATATTCGGGTTTATTAATTTCACGTAGTTTAAAAAAAAAAACAATTATGGAGACCTCGTTTTTTTTTTTTAAAAAAAAAAAACAGTTATGGAGACCTAGGATACTTAGATTGTCAATGAATTAGATGTTTTAAAAAAAGGTCTGGTGATTTTATTTGAAAATAAAAAATAAAAGAAGGATTTAATTGATATATAATTAGAAATGTATGTGGTAATTAATTAAATATACTAAGGATACATTAACCTTTAATGAGCGCAAACTCTAAATTACTTTTTTAAAGCAAAAAGAAGAGAGAGAGAGAGAGAGAAGATGAAAATGGTCATCACGTTGACATAATCAAATCTTTGTGCCTTTGATTACGCGTTTAGTGCGGCTGCATGCCTGTGGTTCAAAGTCAACTATATAGAAAAGTCCAATATCTTACACTGTCGAAGAGAAGGTTATTGGCACGTCATCTATATATATATATATATATTGCACTGTTCTTCAGTAACAGTGAGGCGTGAGATTTACAGGCTACGTGCCTGGTCAAACAAATCCTTCCAGGTACCATAAGAACTTTCAATTTTCCTCTTGCTGTTTTTCAAAAAAGGGAAGCAATAATACTAAGAATGAACAGTTTATAGAAGGCGGCGAGCCACAGTAAGAGAATGGTAAAAGATAGATGCCATGAATGATTTTTAGCAAATTAAATTGTATTTTGATGACATATATACACAAGATTCTGTGATTTGATGTTCAAGATCCTCACAAAGAATCGATTCTCATCAGAAACAGTTTCAGTTCATTTGAGAAATTAAAAAAGTTCATTATATATAAAATTAAAGTTAATTAAGGGTTAATTTTGAAGTATTCTTAGTAGACAAGTTGATTATAATTCGAGGTGTTCTGTCATTGTCTAGATCAGTCCTTCACTCTCATTACATTAAATTATTCTCGAATTACTAAGCATTATTCTAGAATTAGCACAAAGTTAAGATAATTAAATTATTTGTAAACAAAACCGTGTTCTCATGTGGACTTAATTGCATAGAAATAATTAAATAAATCCATGCAATTACTGGCATCCAAAAGAAAGTCTCTCTTTTACCCAGCAATGTAAGCTTGATTTTACCAAGTATACAATTATTAATCTATGAAAAAGGATAGCATTCTTTATATATATATAACAAGACAAGAGTAGCAAATGAGTTGTTACAAAAATAATCTGAGTATTAAGCAGATGATTAATAATTAGTCGTTTTCAACAATTAATATGTGTACAGAGCTGGCCAAAACCTGGCTGTCACCTGGCACACCATAACAAAGAGAGGGAAAAAAGAAGAAAAAGTCCACCTTCCTTATTCCCCTATATAAAGAGCCACATCGATCCATAGCCTTGATCATTACAGCATTGATATATCTTCAAATATTTCCAACAATTACTAGCTAGGCCTCCCAAAAATGGCCACAAAGCTTTGCTTATCACTTTTGTTCTTGTGCTTATGCTCATTGTTTTCATCATCTATTGCCTCTAATGACCAGATAGATTACTGGTGCAGCAAAACCCCAAACCCTGAACCATGCAAATACTTCATGAAGCAAAACCCAAAACACTTTGTGCCGAAACAAAAGTCTGACTTCCGCAAAATGGCTATCGAATTAGCCGTGCAACGGGCTGTGGATGCTCAAAATCACAACAAATGGCTAGGAACAAAATGCCGCAATGAGAAAGAAAAGGCTGCGTGGGCTGACTGCTTAAAGCTCTATGAGGACACCATTGCAGAACTCAACCACACTATTGCCTCCAACACAAAATGCACCGAGTTTGATGCTCAAACTTGGCTTAGCACTGCTTTAACAAACCTTGAAACCTGCAAAGCCGGGTTCAAGGATTTTGGGGTTTCAGATTTCGTGTTACCTCTCATGTCTAACAATGTTTCAAAGCTAATTCGCAACACCTTGGCTTTGAAGGACAATGCCTCATCAACTTTACCCCAAACTTATAATGATGGTTTCCCTAGTTGGGTTAAAGCAGGTGATAGAAAGCTCTTGCAAAAATCTTCACCATCTCCAAATCTTGTGGTGGCTCAAGATGGTTCAGGGAACCACCGTACCATAAAGGCAGCCCTTGACGCAGCCGCAAAGAGGAGTGGCAGTAAGAGGTTTGTTATTCGTATTAAGAGAGGGGTTTATAGAGAAAATCTTGATATTGGAAAGAACTTAAAGAACATTATGCTTGTTGGTGATGGTTTGAGAAATACCAGCATCACCGGGAGCCGAAGTGTTGGTGGAGGTTTTACTACTTTCAACTCTGCAACTGTTGGTAAGTTTTATGCATACATCCTTTCCCATAACTTCTCTTCATCTACTTTTCTAATAAAACAAGGTTTGGTTATTATCTCAAGACAAAAAAATAATAATATGGTATCCAAAAATTTATCTTTCTTTTTTATTTTAAAAATATAAAATTTTATTGATTTATTTTATATTTTCATCTTCAATTCTTTAACTAAACATGCATCTTTTTTGTATTTGTAGCTTTTATTGTGAAAAACTGAACACTTTGTAAGAAGAAAATGTCCACGGATAGACTTGTTCACGTCCTACACTCTTTGATTAATTAGGGCATTAAGAGGAAGTTTCAATTTTCAAGCATAAAACCTTTGGATAAACATTAATTAATTAAAAAATCAGAATCAGTCTACATACAAATATACATCAACAAACAAGTTAATTTTCATGAATCAATCTTAGTCTACTTACCATTAATTTTCATGACTTTTCTATTAGAGCCATTAATTTTATTTTTCCTTGCAACATCAATCTTTAGTCTACGTACGTACCATTGATTTTCATGAATTTTCAGCCGTGACTGGGGAAGGATTCATAGCTCGAGGCATCACTTTCCGCAACACAGCTGGTCCACAAAACCACCAAGCTGTGGCCCTCCGATCAGGCTCCGACCTCTCAGTATTCTACCGTTGTGGCTTCGAAGGTTACCAAGACACCTTGTACGTCCACTCCCAAAGGCAATTCTACAAGGAATGCTACATCTATGGCACAGTCGATTTCATTTTTGGGAATGCAGCTGTGGTCTTACAAAATTGTATGATATATGCACGAAGGCCTATGGATAAGCAAAAGAACGTCGTAACAGCTCAAGGCAGGACTGACCCCAATCAAAATACTCCGATTTCAATCCATAACTCTCGAGTCATGGCTTCATCAGACCTTAGACCAGTGCTTAGCTCATTCAAGACTTACTTAGGACGCCCCTGGAAGGAGTACTCTCGTACAGTTTTTCTTCAAACTTATCTTGATTCTTTGGTGGATCCAGCAGGCTGGTTGGAGTGGGATGGTAACTTCGCTCTAAACACTTTGTATTATGGAGAGTACAGAAATTTTGGTCCTGGAGCCTCCACTAGAGGAAGAGTTAAGTGGCGTGGTTACCGGGTTATAACAAGCTCAACCGAAGCATCAAGATTCACAGTCGCAAACTTCATAGCCGGAAGGTCATGGTTGCCGGCTACTGGTGTCCCATTTTACCCTGGACTTTGATGATATTAACAGTCCCATTCGGTACCATTGATTATATCAATCTGTTTGTTCTTTCATTGTTTCAAAAAGTTCTTAATTAATTTTGTGGATTCCCTTGTAATGGTTCACAACTTGTCATGAAGACATTTATCAAATAATAAAGAAATTATTCTTTTCATTCCATTGCTTGTAATTTCTCATGAACCACTTATTTTCCATGAAAGCAGTACTGTAAAATACAATGTCAGGACACGGATTATACAGTAGTTGATAATGACGTGGTCGGGGTAAATTGACTTGTTGTAGTCTTTAACTAAATTAACACATGGAAAAAAGTACATCTCTCTCGTATTTATGGAGAGAAAAATTAAAAGAAAATAAACCTTTAACTTATAGCACCTCTTTTTTAATATGATTTTCCTCATTTTTACACCTATTTTTGTCAATATTTTTTATAATTTTTTTCCCATTATACAGTGCTGATCAATAATCTTGATTTTTTTTTTCTTTTTTCAACTTTTATTCCGTGGAACCTGGTTGGCTTCTTTATTGCCATGGAATCTTTGTATGGGTTATATGCAAACCAAAACTAGTACACATGTGTTTTCTTTAGCTTGTCATTCGCTCTCAGGGAATTAGATACATAACTTCATGGATAAGTCGTCTGTGTAGTTAGCTCATTGTTCAACCGAAAGTTATGTATTAGCTTTGCACCGTTTCTCAATCATGCATTGCTTTGTCAAGAAGTGAGAAGAAACTGTTCATGGAAGAAAGTGACAATTAGGCCTAAGTAACATCTCCAAGCAAAGAAAAAGAATATCTTCCTGTGCCTCCAAAAGCCATTCTCTGTGACATTTTCACATATAAAAAGATTGTGAAACATTCTTCCTCAACAAATTAGACCTAAAAAAGGCGGATACTTGCTCAGCCCCCCTGAAACACATGTCCTTGATCAATCGCCCTCGTGTTACAGTGAACGGAATCAGAAGAATGAGAACTTTTCATTACTTCTGGTGTCAAAATTGCCAGCGTACGTTAAGGTTCACCTCCTTAGACGGACTTGAAATCTTTTGTCCGCATTGCTTTAGGGAAATAATTCATGAGCTAGATGTATCAAGGCCCAGGCTTATTGCTGATCTATCTGGCTTAGAGCCGTCTCCAGGTGCACGGTTGTTGGGTTCTTTGGCGCAAATGCTCGATCCTCCTACAAGGCGGCAGGATGCTGATCTTGGTAGAAGAATCAGATGGGTACCTGGAAGTTCCAATGGACCTTGGATTACCCTCCAGTTTGTGGATCCTCCAAGCCTGCAAAGACCTGCTATCGCGGCACCACAGCCTGTTATTCCTCCAAGTAATAGTGGTAATGACAGAAGCCATATTGACAATTTTGGTAACGATGAAGATGATCTGGTCTCTCAAGCGACGACTCATACTGAACAGCTAGGGCCACCTCCTGCACCAGTTTCGGCAATTGAAGCGTTGCCGGTGTTGAAAATCACTGAACAACATTTGTTGAACGACATTCATTGTCCTGTATGTAAGGAGATATTTGAGGTTGGTGGTGACGTGATGAAGCTACCGTGCAAGCATTTGTACCATTCTGATTGCATTGTTCGTTGGCTAAACTTGCATAATACTTGCCCAGTTTGCCGGTATGAGCTGTGTGACGAATCTGACAAAGATCTTCCAGGTGAAAATGCTGATTTTTTTGTCTTTGAAGAGCTGACAAACAGCATAAATTGGCTGAGGAATCAGCTCCATTCTTTGCCGCCGATTCGTGCATTTTCTGATTGGACACGGCGATACCTTGATTTCTTAGACAATAGAGTTGTTACTTCGCGTGGAGGTGAGTTTGGAATTTCCTTATGCTACTTCTTTCTTCTCTTTGTTTTCCTTATTTCTGGTTTCGAAAGGCTACATGTAATATTTCAGGCACTTTGCCTCTTTTAACTTGGGATCTTGATGGAGGAATTAATAGAAAATTAAGCTCAAGCATCTGGAAGACATATTTATTTTATATATTTATTTTTATCTCTTTATCCAAATATATTTCTTATTTATTTTTATCTCTTTATCCGAATATATTTCTTTCTTTTCTATATATATATTTTTTTGTGTTTTGGAACACTGACTAAACACAAAATATTCTCTTATATTGATGTGTTGGTTGTGTTGATGTATATTTTCACGCATATAATTTCCAAAAAGAAAAGGAAATTCAGAAAGAAAATTCAAATTGATCAATTTCTTCCCTCTAATAGCTTTTAGAAATTACACAAAAGTAATTTGGAAGATTTGTATCTAATGTTTAACTAATTATGTGCTGATGTTTCCTGCAGCCGGCTCTTGGTGGCGTTCTTGGTTCATTTTTTAACTCTGAATTCCAAATGCCTCCCAGCTTTAAAGCTGTACATATTAGCCTCATAATTGAATCATTTCTTAGGCAGGTATGTCCATCTACCATTAATTTTTAAAGGTAGCAGGGATGAAAGATATCGAACCAGCTTACCAGGTATGTGATACGTACATATATTTCTTTATTTTTCTACTTTGATGTCCTTAAAATGCCTCCATTTTCCTAACCCAAGTTTTTGTTTCTTATTTAGCAGTTGCAAAAATGACTACATCTGCTAAAAGAATAGTTCCATTTGTTCTAATTAATGTTTCTCTCTTCTGTCTATTGTTACATTTTCATACATATTAAAAGAAAAATATATGCATGGTTCTGGGTGAAGGAGGATCTTCATATTTGATCTTACTAGCGTGATCAAGGTTGGGAGAATGAAGAGAGTTTGAGAAAGAGAAGCCTTGAGAGTTGGCTGTAAAACAAACATGTTGTCACTGTAATGCCATTGGTAGAATCAATGGCAGAGCTACCTTAGGGCCAGTAGGGGCCTTCACCCCTTTGGATATTATATATATATATATATATATATATATATATGGTATATGATTTGTGTACAATAATTTGAAAGCTCTATACATCCATGCCATAAGATCAGAAATATCCCATTTTCACATCTTGTACTAAATAATTTAAGTATGCAAATTTTCTTTTTGCTGCTATTTTTTTTTTAGCAAGAAATATATAAGGAAGATAGGGCTTGCATGGACCTTTTAAGTTGAAGTCAATGGTCCTTAAACAAGATAAAATTTCTTTCTTCTTAAATATAATAATGCACTTTTTTGAGTCGAATGTGCTTCATGGACTTATTCATGAGTGGGATAAATGAAGTCTAGAAACATTAATGCACGAACGACTTTGCATTTTATATTTATCTAAGCAATATGTACTGGTTTTTCCTAATAGGTTCGCTTGACCTTGTAGCTCGAAAGGTGGCTCCGCTGTGGAGCTCAACCACCTAATTTGTCGTTAGATTCACAACCCTACACTACTTATAAAGCAAGAAACTCTCTAAACTAGTGCATTATTAACTCAGATTATAGTCCAGCAAGTGAAATGTTAACCCATGAACCTTATTGACAAGTAGTCTCAAGATAACTTGAAGAATACTACATATCCCAACATAAGAGCACATGAAGACGACGTATAGAAGCCATGTGAAATTAATAAAACCCTAGGTTGCAAATTAGGGATTGGCCTAGCGGTGGAATGGGCTTGTTTCCTTCCACTGCACCTGGATTCGAGCCCTGACGTGCACGTCTGTCACCCCCGCGGTGCCTTACATGCCTACTGGGTTTGCAGGGTATTTAGTGGGCCGTGGGGATTAGTCGTGGTGCGCGCAAGCTGGCCCGGACACCCACGTAAATAAAAATAAATAAATAAATAAAACCCTAGGTCAAAACTTGTAATTGTTGTCCATTATATCAAACAAAACAGTTTTATTTCTTCTTAAACATGTACAAGAGGTGTAACTGCAGAAGTATGATGTCAAATTAAGCATGGAGGTTATGGCAAAAGATAAGTTACAGTAAAACATTTATAACAGCACTTATTAATTTGATAAAAAACTGAGTTCTTGGTTGAAATTTGTTTTTGTTTCCAACATATATAGTCGCTTCTCTTGAAGGGAACAACATATACATTATAGACAAAGTATTAAGATCTTTGATCTTATTTCTTAGCTTTTGTAGCTTTCGGTTGTGTACTTCCCACCAAACTAGCCAAAAGCTGCAAGCAGAGTACTCACCATTTCAAAAAAGATTACATTCACGTTTTCAAGAGTTGTTAGGCCTCCTAAAATGGCTACAAAGTTTGGCTTATCTGTTTTGTTCATAAGCTTTTGCTCATTGTTTTCACCAACATTGTCATCTATCACCTATAATGAGATAGATTCATGGTGCAGCAAAACCCCACACCCTGAACCATGCAAATACTCCATGAAGCAAAACCCAAGCCACTTTATACCTAACCAAGAATTTGAGTCTCGTAAAGTGGCAATCGAATTAGCCTTGCAGAGTGCTCTCACTGCTCAAAATCACCACCAGCGGCTATGGCCAACATTACGCATTGAGAAAGAAAAGAATGCATGGAAACATTGCTTAAACTTCTACAACAAGACCATCGATGAACTCATCCTCGCCCTTGCCTCTAACATAAAATCCACCAATTTTAACACCCAGACTTGGCTTAGCGCTGCGTCAACCTATCTTGAAAGTTGTAAAGACACAATCAATGATCTAGGGGTTTCAGGCTCTATGTTATCTCTCATGATGTCTAACAATGTTTCGAAGCTAATAACCAACTCTTTGGCTCTACATAACAAAGCCTCATCAGTTTTCCCTCAAACTTATCAAGATGATTTTCCTACCTGGGTTAAAGCAGCTGATAGAAAGCTCTTGCAGGAACCTTCACCATCTCCAGATCTTGTGGTGGCGCAGGATGGATCAGGTGATTACAGTATCATAAAGGCGGCACTTGAAGCCGCAGAAAAGAGTAGTGGGAATGGGAGGTTTGTTATATATATTAAGAGTGGGGTGTATAAAGAGTATCTTGAAATTGGTAAGAAACTTGAGAATATTATGCTTGTTGGTGATGGAATGACAAAAACCATTATCACTGGGAACAAGAGTCTCGGTGGAGGTGTTGACACCTTTCACACTGCAACTGTTGGTAAATCTCTTAACTCTTTCTTTGTCTTAATTTAAGTGCAAACAGCCTTTTTCTTATCTATTATCTGTGAAAATCACGACCAATGTTAACAATTTGATGAATCCTCAGGGGTCGATGGTCAGGGATTCATTGCTCGGGACATCACCTTCCAAAACACAGCTGGTCCACAAAACCATCAAGCTGTAGCCCTTCGATCAAGTTCCGATTACTCTGTCTTCTACCGTTGTGGTTTTGAAGGGTATCAAGACACCTTATATGTCCACAGTAAAAGACAGTTCTATAGGGAATGCTCTATCTATGGTACAATAGACTTCATTTTTGGAGATGCAGCTGTTGTCTTACAAAATTGCATGATATATGTAAGAAGGCCATTTGGTAGCCAAAACAATGTTATAACAGCCCAGGGCAGGTCTTGCCCTTATACTAACACAGGGATTGTAATCCATAATTCACAAGTATTTTCTGCAGAAGACCTTGGCTCATCAAAAACATACTTGGGAAGGCCATGGAGGAAATACTCGCGTACAGTTTTTCTCTCAACTTATCTTGATTCTTTGGTGGATCCGGCAGGATGGCTTGAGTGGGATGGTAATTTTGCCCTAAACACTTTGTATTATGGAGAGTACAAGAACACCGGACCTGGAGCTTCGACTAGTGGAAGAGTTAAGTGGCCTGGTTACAAGGTTATAACTAGTGCAGAAGAAGCATCAAAATTCACAGTTGCAAACTTCATAGGTGGCCGTTCATGGTTGCCAGCTACTGGTGTACAATTTGCTGCCGGACTTTGATACTATTGACAGTTCCCTGCACTATATATTAATTGGTTCAATGCTAGTTCTCTCATTTTCAATAAGTGTTGTGGCTGGATGCATTGGCATCCATGAGGGCAGCCACATTCATAAGAGTGAATTACTTCAAACCTTGTTGGTTCTTCTCCTAATTTTCTAGCAAAACTAAATGCATGTAGCTCCATGTATGGAGTTTTTGAG